TTTTTGTTCAAACTTTTCCTTGAATCTCTGCATTATTGTGGTTGGAGCTGAGTTGGAGAGGGGGGTTGGAAGAGGGGGAAAGATCTGGGAGTTTTAAATGACATCAGAGCATCGCCAAGGAATCAGGCGATCGAGTATTATTAGGTACTATTTTATACCTACACTATATTAATATAATAGTATGGCTATTATCAATTTGTTCCTGTTTCATAAGGTTTCGCGTGGAGAACTTTTGATTTCCGTGGTTAAATATTCTCGCTTCTTTCTTGGCAAAACAGAGTGGATAGTCGATCATATAGAGATATATAGAGAGATATATAGTACCTGGGTGTATAAAAAGAGGGGAATTCTAGGATTTTTAAAAAAGTTGTACAGGGAAAACTTGCTGACCTGTGCTTTTCACAAGATTCTATATTTTGTCAATGATCTCTCTCGCTTTAACTATCTAAAGACATATAAACATCGCAGTAGCATATGAGAGGTGATGCCGCTAATACTTTCCAAGCTAACTATCTATCTACCTCTGTATATATCCACACTATTCAATTCTTACAAAGTATATATACAAGTACATATATAGACATATATATGGTGTTGTGCAAATTACATATAGTTCAGAATCAATGATGTAATTGAATCTGAAAGTTCCCAAAATTGGGGTTCCAAATTGGAGTTTCAAGGTGCATAGTGTATTCTATAGGATTGAATTTACTACAGAGGTGCTCCAAGATACTGATTATATTAGCTTTCCTCTATATAAGGTCCCTATAGAAGGCATTGTTGATATAGGTCACGTGATAACCAACGAGCTCAAGTTCAGAACATACATTGAAAAATTTATGGACAGTAGCTTGTATACAACATTAAGATATGTGATTAAATATTTTGCTCATGTTCTATAGCCCAAGCTCATGTTTAAGCGTGAATCATTCTTTAGCTCATTGTCAAGGCCCTTTGTTGTGGTAGGAATGCTGACCGCCAGCACGTGACTGGGTGGGAAAAACAACGTTGTCAGAGGAACGGGCCCTTTTCTGTTTATCCTCCCTCGACTCACACAACGCGGCTAGCCTTTCAGAGCCCAAGGCTCGCCACAAGTCGACTCTTTTTGGTTAATGTGCTTGCATCGTTTTGGATTGCATATTTTGTTAGTCGGGTGTGCCTGCCGATTTTTGGATTTGAATGGTCTTGTGAACGTTGCGAGACGAGAAACACCGGCCATCGCCCTGGTTACCGGCTCCTCCACTTACTAACTCAAACGAAGCAGAGCATGATGCCGCCAGAACTCGGTAAGTACAATGCACTAAATTTTTTTTATCCTGCGGGTCATTTAGGTTCCCCGTGCTGACGTGCTTGCAAGCCCGAGCTCACTCGCAGGGCAGTGTAGTGTCCCAGACAACACAGATTGCTCCTCAAAGCCGGCCAGGTACTGCAGACCCTGTGCGAGCACGGTCTGAGGCTCTCTCCAGGGCTAGCCGTCGTCCTCGATCCCGAGGATCAACAGCAAGCATCCACTCGAGTACCACCCAGCAAACCCAAGACCAGCACCTGGACGGGTTCCCTCAGTTTATGCCATCACAAGTCGGAACGGGCCAGCACATGTTCAATAACCCGGAGGATATGCTGATGCGATTTGGGCATCAGCTTTCACATCATCAGAACGGTGCACCGCTGGATCAATCAATGCAAGACGCCCACTCCGCCATGTCTCGAGCCGAAGACTTTCCGAATCACCCGATGCAAGGCCACCCGCTTTCCCACCACCCTATACAGCCCGAAATTGCAGCCGGCTTGCCTGGTGTGCCCGTTCCACAATATCAACAAATATACGATAGTGGTGTCGAGAACCATCTTCCGGACCACATGGTCGAGGACCAAGAAATTTCGGAGCCGGGGACTAAAAAGAAAAGAGGAGCGAGCTCGACGGTGGCAAACGATAACGAGTTACGAAAGCTACTTCGCCAGTATGAGGGATGGAATCTCAAGCAAATGGCGGCTGAAGTTATGAAGAACGAGGGTGGTGGGGGAAAGGCCGAGAAAGTGAAGCAGGTCTTCGCGATGATCTGGTAAGGCATATTGCCGCAAATGTCCTGCAACCGTTTGTCTAACTGTATGCACAGGCTGAGAGAAAATTGCCGGAAGAGCAGTGGTTCAGTACGTCGTGACCGGGTCTATTGCTGCTATGCAGAGAACTGTGGAACGGAACGCGTCTCAGTATTGAACCCTGCGTCATTCGGAAAGTTGGTTCGCATCATCTTCCCTAATGTACAGACTCGGCGTCTGGGAGTTCGAGGCGAGTCCAAGTATCACTACGTCGATTTGTCGGTCATTGAGGAGAAGCAACAAAAGCTGGCGCCTCTGAACCCACAAATTGCTCATCATACAAATGGGCCCGCTTCTATGCCCTCCAGGGCCGCCAGTGCGATGCGCTCGAGAAGGTGAGATACAACTGACATCGTTCTTCATTTGCTCTCACTAACAAATGACTAGTGCTAGCGTACAGCAACCGACTGCCGATACTGCCGTGTTCCCATCTCCCACCACCTCCTTTGCTCCTCGATTCCCGAACAATGCCTCTCCCGCCGACTGTAATTGCCAAGGCCAAACCACACCTGGGCCAGATGCAACGATCACCCGCGAGAATGTAGCCCAGCAGGCTGGGAAAATGATACACCAGATGCTCCAGTTCCCGATGGATGAGAACCCCCTGGTGGATAACGATACCCTTCAACTTCCCGATATTCGTGCCTACTTGCCTGCAAACACCGACTTGAAAGTTGCTGCAGCTCTTGCTGCCCTATATCGCTCGCACTGCATTTCGGTCATCGACAGCTTCCGATATTGCAAGGAACGAAATCTTATGAAATATTTCTCTGCTTTCCATGGAACATTGACTGTTCCTGTTCAAAAGTTGTTGACCCACCCCAACCTTGCTCCATGGATTAAGGAATGTGATTGGATGATGTACCAGAAGATGATTGCGTTTGTGGCACCCCTGACAACTCAGGTGGTCCCCAAGCCCGTCCTAGACGCTTTTAACTCCATCTCACAACGGCTTTGTGGTCACATCGCTGAGACCTTCAAGACCCAACCAACCCATGTCTCGTTAGCACGTTTGATTCCCGCGCATATCTTTTGCAATCTCCTCAAGCATATGCTTGATGTGAACCAGGCTGCCAATGCCGCTGCCGCCTGGCTTTGCCACCCGGATAACCGAAACCAAATGTGGACCGACTTTAAGACCATGGTCAATCCTAGAGATATGATGACCAAGGCGAACATTCCAACGTGTGCCGAGCCAGCGACGGAGCAAATCCTCAAGCATGACATCCGTGCGCTCTTGACTCCATTGAATGATGTCGACCCTTCCGCAAGCTTGCTTTTCTTCACGCAACCTGATACCCCCGATTCTGTTGAGGCTCACAAGTTCCCCGTGGAGAGTGCTCCCGGAGACGAGTACAATTTCCCCGACAAATGGGTTCAATTTATCCTCAACATCCCCGCTGCCTTTGCCAAGCATCGCACGCAGTGTGTCATTGAAAAGGTTGATGCCTTGTGGGATAGCGTGTTGCACCGACTTACTCTGGCTGGAGCACCGAGCTTTAGTGCATGGTGGATGACAAAAGTCTTCTTCCATGAGATGATGGTCTGGCAAGCAGAGAAGGGTGGGTTTATGCGCAACACCCCTGGATCACTGCAAAGTGCCACGTTTGGTCCGGAATCACTCGGTCACTTTCAGATGAAACAAGCGTCTGCTCCCGAGACATCCCCTTTCGACGCATCAAATGATTCCCAAGCCAAATCCAACCCGAGTCCTGTGGCTCACAATGGCCACCCAAGTCACCCTCCCAGTCAGCACCCGGAATTCAAACACCCTCCCAGCGAGAAGCGACTCTCTCTTCAAGATCCGGGCTTCCAAGGTCATAACAATGATGACAGCGCGATTGATCTTGAGGATGATACTATGTTGCTGGCGGTTGGTAAATACGGTGACATGATGGTCTCCGATCCCGCTGATGCCGAGGGTGATGTCGTCGTCATCTAGTCTAATTTTTGATTTGTGTTCATGAGTTGGAGTTGGATATCCCTTGTTTCTGGAGGCTTCTCCATTGGTTGTGGATGGCGTTCCCACGATTCTCCTTTGTTTTTCTCTTCTTTTTTTCTCCTTTGTTTGCATGAAGCGATGAGACATGAGCAATGAGGCTCTCATTGAGTCTTCCTTGCAATCCCGGCACGCCGGGTGCTTTCTTTGGTCAAACCTACAGCATTTAATCGGCGTGGTGGAAATTAGTCCTGACTTGGTTCTGCTTCTCCTTTTCCTGTTTGTTTACTTTTGGGCCTCACATCGAGTCCCTCTGTACATATTACTTGTGGACGTACCTTGATCATTGGCGCAATACTTTAATGTGCATGAATAACTGTTGTCACACACATTTCCATATGACCTTTAACTTGATTGTATTCCCTATTCCTACTCATGGTTCTCCACGTCCATATCTTCATGACTTGGTTCTTCCCTAATATTCGGTATCAACCACGGCCACCATTTCGCTTCGTACCACGTGAGTTATTTAGGGGCTACTTTACTTCCCTAAAAAGTAACCTCATAGCCCTTCGCTGTGGAAAGATTTAATACCTAGGGGTTTAGGAAGCTTCCGGAGCATGCCTTTCGGTGACCTTGAAGAATTTCTGTATAGTGCCAAGCTAGAGGGGTCTTGCAAGCATACTACTGAATTACGGTATGGCATGACTACTGGCATGCTTTATGTTGAGGGTTTTAGAACGAACAAGGATAGTTAGCCGCTTATACGGCCTTTTGATGTCTTTTCGGTGGTATTTTCAGGGTAAAATGAGTATGTAACTAGAGAACAATGTAGTTAAAAAAAGGCCTAAGGCAGAAATTCCTAAAAAAGGCTTAGCCCCAGCCAAGATCGAGGCTCCCCACTTTTTATCTCTTTCCATCTATACATGTTTCAACTTTATGGCTGATCAACCCCCTGTTGATGGTCCCTGTTGATGATCACCACATCCTTTCCCAGTTTGAAGACCCCGAGAGAAAGGTTCTCATTTCATGCATCCTCGAAAGCGATCTGGAAAGATTGAGGAAGGTAACACGATGCGGTACCACGATGCAAATATCTTGCTTTGTGATTCTCAGACATCCAGGTACTTCGCGAGTTGTATCCACTCCCCAAACCGTGCAAGGACTTGCACGGTCGGCTGCCCTGAAGATTACCTTCAAGTCCACCTACAGCTATGATGTGGCTGGGATTTGTAAGTACCTCAGAAACTCCATGTGTGTCATGACGCTAAACTAACCAGATCTGCTTCACCCCGGGGCTGGGAAATTGCAGTTCAACAAGGCTGGTGACGAACGACACTTGGCTACCCTGGAGAAACCCATCGACGCCCTTTCTCAGGAGCTTTCCGTGTCCTCTTCCGCTGCAACTTCCTGCCCTGTCTCCCCAGGTAGTACTTTGCCGCAGCTTGAGGCAGACCCCAAATCAAAGGTATGTTTATCAAGGAGACCAAAGAGGCAAAAATGATAATCTGATCTAATTTTTGAGCACACAGCGGGATATGGAGCAATGCTTGTTGACCAAGCGTGGATTGCTTACTATACAGACAGCGCATATTGTGCCAAACAAGCCGAATCTAACCAGCAAAGCCTACCTCATTTAGGAAAATTGTTGGGTGTGGCTTGATGCATTTTGAGGTAGAGCCCGCGTGGATCAACGGCAAGCGTAAATTCTGACAGGAGACGTGATGGACACTGAGCAAGTGTACAATTTAATCACTATGGAGATGCAAGCACACATACACTGGGATTGTGCATATCCCGCACTTCGTCCCCTGTCGATTAACACAGCAAAAATAGAGATGTACATCGCATTCCACTGGCTGTCTTTTGTCAAAGATGGACCATCACAAATCCCTGCCAAGCGGACCGAGGGCATACCGACCAAGGAACACATCTTTAGCAACCCATACTACAACCCTCGTGTGGACCCTGGGTACGATAATGTTCTTTTCCATACGAGAATGGGGAAGCCAATTCTGTCTGGGCATGTTTTCACGATGATGCCTGATGGCTCTGATGGAGACTCCACTGTTTTCTGCTAGTCCTAGAGCACCAAGCAGGGAATGACGCATGTCTCTTGTTTCTTGAGAATAAGTCGCCCTTCCGCTCACCTACTTAATCTTTGTCACATTCAACGTGACAAAATCTGTCGTTGGAGGGGGACACAACCAGCTACATTGTTGAGCGATGGGTTCCTTGCTTTCTTGCCGTTGTATTTCAACGATTTCATGACTACTAAATGGAGTTGACTAGATTGCCGCTGGTATAGGGAAATAGATTAGGTATTATATGGGATGTTATATGTAAAATGACACCCCGATGCCTTTCTAAATGTCCTTTTAGATGTCCTTCTTCTCATTATAGAAAGATGGTCATTGCATTATAAATGGCTTATCCACAATATAAGGCAACCGGAAACCAAATGACTTTCTATAACCAGGCACTTGAAAATTTCCAAGGTTCACACATTAGCAACTCGTACATGGAGTATGTATGCGCTGAAAGAAAGCCAGAAAATAAATATGTCTTTTCCAAGACAGGACTTTGCACACGTCATACATTCAGAAGGTAGCAGTTTACTCTATCTTTTCCGTTTCCGCCCTCCCTTTCCGGTGATATTTTGTCTTGATCAGTCGTTCATTACACTTTGATCGGTTACCACGGATTCTAACTTATATGAATGCATTACTATTAGAGATACGTTGCTCATTTTATAGTGTATCGTAGTACGTTACATGTGAATATAGTTATATCCCGCAAACAGGCACCTAGGCACCCAGGCACAGGTACCACCCACTACATCATTATAGATAGATTTATGTCACTCTTGGGAATAATTGACTCTATCATATTCCGTATATGGTGAATATCTATTTTGCTTCTAGTTCTTTACTTTCTCTAACATCTCGATTCATCTGCTAGTTCATCATAGATGGAACATAAAGTCACTAGACTCATGATTCCCCAAGGTTACACAACCTAGATAAGGTTACATTAGATCAAAACCAAATCTCTATGCTCCATGGCGTAGAAAAGAGCTTATGTGGACTACCCTAGTGTATAGAACAGTTCACCAATGAATGAGAAAAAAAAGGTGATATTTGCAATAATATGACAGAAAAATAACATCCAGTTATGATAAGTACAAGTGTTCACAGTAGATAGGATGGATATATAAACAAGTACATGTAGAAGAATCATGAAGAAGAATCGCTTCTACTCCGGACGGCATGCCAGAATTGTGGCTTGGGAGCTCCCGTGAGACACACAGTGTCTCATTCTCGAGATTTGACGCCGAGCCAAACGATCAACGCAAGGCTTCGCGATCGATCTGGCGAAGCTGTGCTCGGCTCGCTCCCAACCCCCATGCCCGGGACTCGACCGATACTGGCCGATCTCGCCATGGTGGCATTGTCGTAAACCCGGAGTGCCCATCCCAAGCAGTCACTTGGTAGATGAGGCATGCAAGTATTAAGATAGATGAAATGTAAATGAAGATTCGCGCCCAAGTTTCATGAGAAGGTTTAGGCTTTGTGTCCTGCATCTTTTTTGGGCTCTTCTTTGGCCTTGGGAGAGTATCTCCATCGGTCCCAGTTCTCCAATACCCACCAGTTCGCGACATAGGATGCGTTATAGAGCCATTCGAGAGTTTTTTCATCATATTCTTTTCCGACAGCGGCGGCGAGATCGACCAGGCTGAAGCGCTCGATCGGCTTCAGCTCGTTCGGGTCCTTGGAGACATCGGAGAAGCGCCATTCGACGTCGTTGACGAGGGGGATCACCAGGCGGAACTCGGGCTTGGCGGCCGAACGAACGGAGAGCCATGAACCACCGGTGTTCATGACGGTGAAATGCCAGGCCTCGCGTCCCTCGTGCTCGACGACCTGGGGCCGGATCAGGGATTGACCTTCGTACAGCGAGCGAAGATCGCGGGCGGACCGGGTGCTGTCCTCGCTGAGGGAGGCCGACTCGATCAACAAGTCGATGATGGTGGGGACGATCTGACTGTTGATCACTGGGGTGTCGATCTGGACGGGAGGGAGTTGAGGGTGTGCAAGCACGATGGGGACCTTGAAGCTGCCGACGTGGGGGTTGTCATAGGGAGTGATACCGCCGTCGTTGGGGAGGGAAAGACCGTGATCTCCAGCCATGACGAACAATGTCTCATTGGCCACTCCCTTCTCCTCCAGGATACCGATGAGTTCCGAGAGCCAATCATCCACATAACCCACCGAGTTCAGGTACCGATTCATATCGTTGTTCGCACCGGATTTGGAGCCCATGATCTCTTCAAAGGCATCGTTGGGAATTCCCCAGGGATGATGAGTGGTACTCGTGAGGTGGGTGAGGAAGAGACGATGGTGGTCACGCTCCGCATCATCGATGGCATCACGGATGTACCCGCGAAGCTCGGTTTCGGGATAGCCATAGTAGTTCACCTCTTTGCTCTTGACCGGGTAATACTTGGCTTTGGGATCAATGATGGTCTCCTTGGTCTGTTTGTCCCGGAATCCCAGTTGGGGGGTCAGTTTGTCCTGGTTGTCGTAGGTCTCGGTGACCGACATCATAAAGGTCGAATGCCACGGCCACTTGGTGAAGTCGTCGGTCTCGCTGGTGATATCCGGTTGCTGGCTGAGGGCGTCGAAGACGTGGGGCAGGCAGGGCTGGTAGATGTGGTGGTCGAATTCGCGATTAAAATCGGCGACCAGTGGGGTCACACCACAGAAACTTCCGGTCAAACTCTTGAGAGTATAGGTGGCGCTCGTGATAGCATCCCGGGCACTGATGCCACCATAGGCTTTGCGACCGAAACGGGAATCGTCGTGCTCAAATCCATTGGGGAAGTTGGTCAAAAATTCGGCGGTGCGGGTGAGGTTGGCCAGGCGGTCGACCACCTCTTGGGGAATCTTCTTGTCCTTCCACGATTCCGCGATGCGCTTGTACATGAAGCTGTCCTTTTGCAGGGGGAAGATATCGGCGCGTGCACTCTCGAGTTTTAGAAACACGACATGCTTGATCTTGACTTCGCCGCTCGACAACGCCTTGTGGATCTCCTCCAGAACGGGCCGGTCGAGGTTGGAGATGTGCAATGGGTCCTCATTGGGGTTGTAGTGCAGCGCCATGGGATCGGATTTGTCCCAGTCCTCGAAACCGGTGATGGGTTCCTTGGACATCCAGCCCCAGTGGGGTGCGGGGCGCAAGGCCGTGGCCTGATCCAGATAATTCAACTTTCCGGGGACGCCAGTGGTATCGACGGGGGAGTGACGCTCGGCACCCTCGATGACGGTGGTCAAGGGTAAGGTGGTGGACATGTACATGTAGATGGGGTCCCACGGGCGCATGAAGCGGAGGAAGAGGAAGAGACTGAACAATCCCAGGATGATGGTCCGTTGGAGGACCCCATCGGTGACTCGCTTGGAGGCCGGAAGGCGGTTGGGGAGTTGAGCGGTATTCAGCAGATGGTCCCCTTCTTCATTATCACTCATATCATCGTTATCATCCATGTTGATCTGTTCATAGATTCGGGGATCGGGTAGGTCGGCTTCGGATTTGGATCGGGGCCAGAAGCGCTGGACCAGAGGCTCCACGTGCGGTCGCACACGAGCCCACACCCATCGAACGGGCCAGGCCCAGACATGCAGGATACCTCCAGTGAGTGCATGAATGGAGTGGGCAGCGAACAATGAGATTGTCAAGAGGATACCCTCGACAATCAGGAAGCCGGTCAAACCGGAGAGCAGAGTATGGATGGCAGCGGCATCACCATTAAAGGCTTTGGCTTGGCGCCAGTGGATCTCGGCACCGGTGAAGACATAGAAGGAGGTATTGGCGGAAGCCATGAAGGACATGATTAGACTGCATGATTGTTAGTTATATTCAAGTATTCCAATGTATTCCCATTTGAGTTGTGAGCCCAGAGAAGGGTTGGGAAAAAAAGGGGGCACGTGGACACTTACCTAGAGGGGATAACCAAGATTGCGAGCATGGCGGCTCCCGGTCGCCACGCGACCTTTTGGGCAAGAATGCGAAACAATAGTAGAATCATGACATCTTGGAAAAAGAAGGTCAACCCCCAAAGAAAGAATCGAGGTAGGGGTAGAGAATATAAATGAGCGTAAAGATGCAACAATTTGGCCAAAAATAACGATAGAAAGGCGAGAGTGAAAAAATAACGACGGGCAAAGTCCCAGATGGCATCCAGGGTTTCAGCTGGAGACTGACGAACACGCCGGATGCCGTTGCTCAAATAAGCATGCACAGTATGAACGACTTTCATGATTTTAATTGTATATATACACCCCCGACATTGAAGAGAGAGAAGAAGAGAAGAAGAAGGAGAAGGGTCTCTTCTCTTTTTAGCCAAGTGGGATTTAGTGGAGACGATGACTGGATCAATGTACCATTTTTTTTTTTTTTTTTAGGTATTATAGTATTATAATCCTATTAATATTGTGTATTAATTTTTACTTGGAGTAATCTGATTGGATTAAATTATTTTTCTCCTTTTTTCTCCGATTTTTTTCTATACATAAAAAAAAAAATGTATGTACCTTGTACTCCTTAGGGTAATTGTCAGTGTGACCAATTTCTGGAGTGGTTTTTCCCCTATCAGCCTCCAAATGTCCCCTTCTATGGCCCCAAGCCCCCAAATCTCCCCAGTCCCTAAATGGCCCCAAGTCCCCAAATGGCCCCAAATGGCCCCCAATCAGGTCCTAACTTGGTCCAGCCAAGGAAATTGTCCCCGCTTTCCGTTTTTGGAAAAAATAAAAATAAAAAAAAATAAAATCCGGTTTCTATTTCTCTACTGTTTGGGCTTTCTCCTGGGGTCATTCATATATCATCATGTTAGGGAGCGCTTTCGGTTGGATTTCGCTCCTATTTGAGCCGTTGGCCTTTCAAGTCCCTCTCATTCAACCTCAACCAAGACTCAAGGGGGAAAATAGTATAGCCATTCCTGCACAGGGTCCCTGGCAAGAGATCATTACCGGACATTATGCCATCCCGCCCATATTGAAAATTCATGACCGCAATAGTGTCGTCAAATGGAGTTGGCAACGAGAAGATGTCACTCAACCCCTACCCCCAAAGATCAAGAGTGGCTTATACAGTCATTTCAACGATGCCACCGATATGAAGTGGATGCGAGGTGGGAGAAGTGTCGCCGCCGTCTACAGTGCCCTGGTCGTCGTCGTCAACCACCACCCCGATGAACCTTCCACCGATAAGAAAATCACCTTCGCCCTGAATCGAGCAAATGATGTCCTCCATAATGCCCACACCATCGAACCTTTGCCCGGTGATCGTCTCGCCGTCGGCACCACCGGACAACGGCCTCATGATGGCATTCTGGTCTACAACATGAGCGAGGCGCTCCCCCTCCTCGATGAACCCCCCGTCTTACAAAAGATCGAAGGTCTTCCCGCCATCCATGCCATGATCTGGGATGAAGAGGGTCAGATGCTGTGGGCGACCGGCACCAATGTCGCCGCCGATGGCTCCGATCCCGAACCCGCCTACGGTGTCATTCAGGGATACCCTTTCGATGCCGAGACCGGTCTCCTCCGTGTGGATGAAGCCTATCGATTCCAATTCCCGGAATACTACGATATCGACGCCGAATGGGGTCATGGATATAGCTGGTGGGCTGGGCCCCACGATCTCGTCCCCGTGCCCAACGAACGAGTCTTCCTCGTCTCCAACGATATCGGTCTCCATGCCTTTGATATCGATAAGATGAATTTTACCGCCGAGTACGACGAAGTCGTCGAGAAATATATGCCCGGCTTCGAGGTCACCACCAACGATCGTCACGGGACCAACCGCGCAGGGGAATACGTGGACTTGCCGCAGTCGGACCTCAAGGGGTTCAGTCTCGCCCCCGATGGCAGTTTCATCTACACGCAGTCTCTCTGGACTCTCTTCCGAGGAAATTATACCAGTCTTGTGGTCGATGGAGTGCGGACCAAGGTCATGGTAGGGGATGAAATCTATCGGTCGCGATGGTTCGGAGACATTGATGGCTGGCCCAAACCAAAGTACTAGAACCTTTTGTACCTTGATTTGTACATACATTTTTTGGATATATAATGAACAGCTTTTTTTGATCTTATTAGAATAAAGTTTGCGGCAAAGGCGTATTTTGTGCTACAATACGGAGTACTCCGTATATACCCCTGGATGTTGTATATCGTATATCGTACATCTCCGGGTTAGGCAACTCCCTCTCTTCCGCTACCCCCTAGTCAGCTTGGCGCAGGCAAAATCTCCACCAAATTCACTGACATCCGGCAAATGGGTGTGTTGTCCATTTCTAATAGGTCCAAATACCCCTGGCCCCCAGATTTGATGTCTGTGCTTGCCTCGGTTCCTCAGCTTATACGAATTGACTATCTGGCCTGTTTCATCTCTCTTTCTGGGCTCTGAGAAAGTTTCAAGGTCACTGAAAATAGAGCTATATTTAAAGAGACTTTTTTTTTTCTCTACATCGTACTCGTATTCGTACCCGGTTCCTGTACCTGTCTGTTGGAGAACCCTCGCCACTGCCAAGGTTAGGAACAGGATGTTTTACAGGATTTTATATCCAAGACAAAAGACTAGAAAACTTCATTATAAACCATCCATGGATGTCTTTGTTGCACTCCGTGCAACATAGTGAGTTCGGCAGTTGATATGGAATCCATGCCGTATTGGGTACTACTGACGCCGCTTTAATAAGACACGATAAGAGAAACAACCACAGAGTGTGGCGAATTGGATTTGCGATATCAATTCTTCATTGCTGATGTGACAGATCCTTTCTATTGATCTCAATGTGGAAACGAGGACGGCTTAGTGTTTTAGTAGTCTTCTCAGTGGTCTCCTTCAAGATATTTTCGAAAAGCTCAATCTGTCAAAGCGACTTGTCCATGTATAACCTTGGAAATAGAGAATCGTGTGTCATTTCTCAAAGGTATAGCCTAAATCATATTCTGCTTCATCTGGCAAAAAGCAACAAGATGATAGAGAAGAGCAAATCCAACTAAAACCAAAGCCAAGCAGGTGGATGTCTCATATCAAAGAAACAGATTCCTTCCAGATCAGTAAACCCCCGACAAAGCTCGCGCCTTAACAAGTCCCTGTCGCTCGAGGAATGGTGGAAATTTGGCTATCAGCGCTGCATAAGAGTAGAATTTTCCTAGGGTGCATGTGAGCTTTGAGAGAACACAAAATAGAAACACCATACTAAGCCAAATACAGGCAACTGGCTTCAACCAATCGGAGAAAGGAAATTCGGGTGAAAGTTGGACTTTGTCCAATAAGGGTGCGGGAACGGAGAGCCACTAAGCCTAATTTAGCACATGTGCACGCTGCATCTTATAGAGATTTTATAGGGACGAGAACAAGGTGTTAACTTGGCAGAATTTGAATTTCTTAATAAACGAGGTGGATATGTCTAGTCTTTTGGTAGTCCTTTTCTCATCTTTCTTAGTTACCACAGAATATCCATAGCCAAAATCTGACAGCACTGTAGCGCGCAAGATAAGTTGAGTGTACGGTTTCAAATGGGGTCTTATTAAGATACCCTCACAGCCCAGGACTGGCGATACCAGTTAAGCCCCTACAATAGCACCGAGCACCTCGCCTGTGGCCTCTGTCACCAACTTGTTCATAGTCCTGGCGGTCCACCCTGATAACAGTACCAACTCAAAGAAACGACTGTCATGAGAGACGAGAATTTCCAAGACCTTTTCGCCCGATTTACCTGGTCGTAGCTTGGCCAGCTTTTTACCAATAACATCCTGCAACTCCATGTTCCTGCCTGTCAACATATCAAGCTTCCATTTCAATTGACCGGTGGCCGGTGACTCGAGCGTAAAGTTGCCCGATAATTGGTTCAAACGCATGTTTATTGGCTGGCCGTAAAAGCCCATGTGTATTTTGGAAGAAAGGCTTGGAAGTCGAGCGTTGCCGATGATGTCCCATGGACCCTCACCCCAGCCTCGAAATACTACCACGCTGGGAGCACTATCATTGGACGTGATTGAGTACATAGGCGGTGCCTCTGTTGGATAGCCTGGAGGGTGAACCAGAATTTTTGAAGAGTCCCATGGTGCTGGTCGTAGCAAGAATGAGACAGAAGACTGTCGATTTGAAGACTTGCTGGTAGAAAAAGAAGAAAGCAACGCCATATGGTTCATTGTTGCAAGGTACCGTTCTGAGACAGGAGCCGAAGCGTAAAAAGATTAGGTGGTAATCGAGGTTCAAGAGTGTGGAAGATTAGGTTTTCAACATTGGGGCTTTGATTGCTTTATACCTCTTGTGTTTCTTTTGGAGTTGTAATGATCGCCAGAGTACGCATGATCTATGGCTGTCTTCTCCTATTTCCCAATCGGGAATAATAGTGCGCCGCATTACGGGATATGGACTATGTGGTTGCAACATATGATTGGCCTATAGACTTGCCAAGCAACCTCCATGATATGTATAGGGGAGTCCATGCACTCAGCTTCAGCCTTGGGGCTGTGACAACAAAGCGATGACGTCACATCTCTCTTCGTCGCACCATTCATCCTATTTGGGGATCATATTCAGCATTGTTGTATCGCATATCTCATTCCTCAAACTAGCACTGACGGTATGCCCGGGGTTCCATCTAGCCGTGGCTGCGATGCATGTCGCAAGGTGAAAAAGAAGGTCTGGTTACCGAAAGACCGGCTTGCTGTATCGTATTAATTCGAAGATTAGTGTGATCAACTTAAACCGACATGTTCACGATGCACACGTCTGAAGATGACATGTGTCGGGGGAGGACAGCAGCGGTACATGTTCAAAAATCAATCGCTAAAAGCGATGCAAACACAAGGCGCAGAATGCCAATCAGAACTTCGATCATTTTTCTCTGGCAAGGAAGTAGTGTTTGTCGAGGGGCCAAAGCAGGTGCCTAGCACTGAAACGAGTTTAATGGCAGCAGCCTTTGTCGCAGCATTTCAGGTGACTGATATCCGATATGCTGTGGCCTACTATGGGCCCTTCCTGCGGGATATTCCACGGCGATTGGGCAGCAGCACCGTCCTAGATTCAGCCGTGAGAGCCCTATCGACTGCCTACCCGTTTCTTCACACGGGCTCTTACCCACCAAATGTACTCGTTCGCTATGGACAATCGCTGCGGGCACTAAGAGAATGCCTGAACAATCCAGTCGAGGCCCGAACTCCCAACACATTATGTGCCGTCTATTTGATTACCATCTGCCAGGTAAAGTTTTAGTTTGCACCTCATCGAAAAGAGAAACCCATGAAATAGGAGCTGATCGTCAATCATTTGTCAGAGCTGGCTAGGAAAACACGATGATTCACTCACTAGTCACAGCGAAGCTATCGCTCATCTCCTTCGGGCTGCTAGACTAAATGAGTGGACAAGTACCTTTGAGATGGAGATGGTCATCACACTGTGTGTGCCTATAGTATGTTTGGGTTCCGACTGCTCTGAACAACACACCCAGTCAATGTCACGAGAGATTACTTACAGCATCGATTTGAACAGATACTCGAAGGCATCGCCAACCCGCGTATCAAAATGGATTCAGAGTTTTGGGAACTGACCTCATCCTTCAAACGTCGTCTATCTGCCTCGCGCGACAACAATCGGCCGCAGTCAACCACCGAGCTGCATCATCTCGCTATGTTTCCTAAATTTGTCCAAAACCCCGAGCCACACCTTGCCGAAATTGCAAAGACATACATGCAATTGAGGCTCGATGCACATCAGATAAGACAACATCTTGATCAATGTAGAGAATTTACTCTGGTCTCTTTCTCATCCTCCGAAGTTGCAAGACACTCCCGTATCCAAGCTGCTTATGCCATTCTCTCTACGCTGGCTGTGTTGTTGAACAGCATTTTACGAGTTTTTGATCCCTGGAATGCTTCCTTGGTGAGTGAAGCTGTCTTTTTCTGCAATGAGATTACAATCCAAGCCAAACTGGCATCTTGCTACCGGCCAGTGGGGGCAGGGTATATTCCTCTATGCTTGGTTGTTGCTTGGGCGGCATCGGATAACCCAGTTCAGCTGGCAAGAATTGAGGCAATCCTTTCTGAATACCAGTCTGATTTTGCGGACGTGCCATGGATGAGCCGTGCTGTCTGGCTAGCCTCTACCCTCGATAGACATCGCATGCGAGTAATGTCTGGGAAAAAGTCTCCAGAATCCCCGTTAGAGACTGTCTCCCTGGCTGATTCAGGAGGCAATCGTGATGCGGGGAGCAAAAAGCCTTCAGCGCGCCCCGAATCTTGCTGCATTCTCTAATTCTAAACGAACGAGGGCGAAAGGAATAACGGATTGATCTACTGTATACTTGTTTATTGTCTATGATGATGTTCATTCTGCTTTTTCTATGTATCCAAACTCCAACCCACAAACACTCCTTTGGTTATTACTGTTGAAATAGAGCAGCAACAAAATAAGGCATGCCTCAAGGTTACTGTTTGGCAACACAATTTCGAGGTGTCAGTCAATGCAATCAAAAGGCTGGCAGCCCAGTTGCTGCCATGGGCAACTTCGGTCGCTAACGCTACTTCATACTTTGGGTAAATGCTAGCTAAATGGAAAAATGCGAACTTGTCCAAGGGGCGTATATATTAGATGGCATATCTACAATAGAGGAAAAAAGAACCGAGCAGAACAAAAACACAAGAACAGGGCTCATGAGAATCTGTTGTTCCTGGAAGGTTAAAAGCCAGCCGATCCAATGCTCTCGACACGAATACCCAACTGGGTCATCTTCTTGATCTCGATGATGCACCGCCCATCAAATAACCATTTTGGTGTTTCCATGTTATCCGCAATCCTTTCCCAGTCAACCTGTTTCTTAGGAAGGTTGTTGCTGAGTTTGCGCACGGCGACCTCGCTGCCGTTTTCTCTCTGACAGTCGGGGCAATCGACGGCGCAATTAGGCTCAATCTCAAGGTTCTCTTGAGCGTATGGGACATATAGTGGATCAATCGCACTCCCCGCTCCAGAGCTGGCTTTTATCTGGGGAGACTCGTGCATATCTTGGTTCAAGGGTAGTTGTCCTGGTGGGGGGTTTGAAGAATGAGGAGCGGCAACCAATTCAGTATTTCGGAACTCATCAAACTCGGTGACAATGAGCACCGCGTTGGATGAAGCACAGGCTTCATAGACATCCGAGTAAACCTTCACAGCGCCACCATCATCTCTGAGAGCGGGAGGACCGTATCCATGTAGCTGGCGAATCTCGCTCTCGATGACATAGGGATTGCAGCAAGGATCAAATATTGCGATCTCTCCAGGGTTTTCATCAAGCAATGTCTTGATTATCTCAAGGGCGGGCGCTTCACGGGTATCCGATGTGTTCTTCTTGAAGGCATATCCCAGGAGAGTGATCTTCTTGCCCACCAGAGTATTGTTCAGACACTTGATGACGCGACTAGTAAATCGGTTGCGCTGGTATTCGTTCATGGTCACCACCTGGCGCCAGTACGCCCCGACCTCCTTGAGACCCAAGGACTCAGCAAGATATACAAGACTGAGGACATCCTTTTTGAAACAGCTACCACCAAACCCAATACCCGCGCGGAGGAATTTATCGCCAACTCGGGAGTCCATCCCAATTGACGCCGATATTTCATTAATCTCAGCTCCTGTGGCCTCACAGAGTGCTGAAATGCTGTTGATGCTGCTAAGTCGTTGGGCTAACATGGAGTTGGCCACGAGTTTCGCTAACTCCGATGACCAGATGTTGGTCGTGATAATACGAGCCTGGTCAACCCAGCCAGCATAGACTCCAGCTAGTGTTTCTGCTGCCATTTTCCCTTCTTCTGTCGTTGCAGAACCTATGATAACTCGGTCCGGGTTCAACAGGTCGTGAATCGCAGTCCCAGCCGCGAGGAACTCAGGGTTGGACAGAATCTCAAAGTGCTCACCGGGCCGACGTACAGCAATCTATAAGAAGGTGAGTGTGTCTTCATGACCAAATGGGATGGTGTGACGTACCATCTCCTGGATCATTTGGGCCGTTTTGCAAGGAACTGTAGACTTCTCCACAATAATCGATCCGTTCCTTGCATGCTGCACAACATCCGCGGCGACAGCTTCAAAAGCTGTCATGTCTGTTGCACTCCCTGCCCCTGATCCTCGCATTTTGGTGGGAGTATTGACCGCAATGATGACAAGATCCGACTCTCGGATACATTTTGAAACGTTCGCGGAGAAAAATAAGTTGGGTATCCGAGAGGATGCACTGCTTCCCTCTTGTCTGCCGTGCCCTTCGTGGGCTTCGTGCTCTTCAAATATGTGTGGGGTTTCCTCCAGGCTTGTTGACACCGGCGGGGTGGGATCATTCCGAAGTCCATCTCGTGCAATCCGAACGATTTCAGCCAACCCAGGCTCGTAGATAGGTAGATGTCGGGAGTTCCACCTTCGAATACGTCGCTCATCTTTATCTGCGACGGTGACTCGGATCTGTGGGTTTTTGAATGCAATGACGGCAGCCGTTGGGCCGCCTATTGATAAATCAGTCTGTAGGCCACGAGAGAGAGAGAGAGAGAGAGAGAGAGAGAGTATCAGAATGCATTCGCTCAACGTACCGACATAGCCTGCGCCAACGCAGCATATATTTCGGATTGGCCTTGGGCCAACTGGGGTATCTGGATAACTATCGTCCCCCACCGTGGTTCTTGTGCTACTCGACGCTACGTCGAGTCGATCTGTGCCATTCAGACTTTGTTCCGAAGTTGTTGGCACAGTTGATCCAGTTGGAATGATTGCTTCAGAGTCAAAATCATCAATAGGCAAGGACATAGTTATCGGGCTGGACTATCGGATTTCATGCGCTCAAAGAAACCTCGGGGGCTCGGGTGGTAATGTCCAGAAGCAAACAAATATTGCAGAAGACTTCCGGATCCATGCCTTTTTATTGTTAATTTCGACTTCATTTAACTGCCAAGACAAGAGATTAGTACAGAGGATACAATACCCTAATCCTGTACGGTGTAAAGAGTAGACTTGATCAAAGAATCGAAAATGACGCATACAAGGTATCAAAAGCTAATTGGTAATTAATAGATTTGAATCTACCATTGAGGATCATGCATGTAGCCATGCGGTCAAATCCCCTTACTTTTACATCGCCATAATGTTAGACCAATAGAAGCATCTATACTCCAGCTGAGATCGTCGTTGCTCACCGTATAGATGAGCTGATTTTCTGTGACGGTATTTCTCCAGTTATGTAGCTGGAAAGATGGACATGAATATCCGAGAACCTGAGTTACCTAGATACTATCTGAGTTAAACCGAATCCAAATGTTTGTGCTATTTTCATTGCTATTCAGAGTACGGAGTACTCCGTAGGGACCTAGCGCATACTTAAAGCACCCTAAATTGCTTGGCTATAGTCCGTAGACGAATCCCAAGTCCTTAATTGCACATGTGTCAATACATTCATAGTATTTTTTTTTGGGATCCAAATGAAAAAGAAAGGCCAAAATCCCTCCGAAGTGGACCTGACTGGAGCCAACGTTCTTGACATATATAACCTTGGGATGAGAAGTTATTCCAATGGATCTCAGCCCTATTTATTCACCTGTGGATCTTTGAGAGTGAAATTCATACACCATTTTTCATTTTCTGTTATACTAATTTCTATTTTCTACCTATTTGTAAATGCGACCGTGTAAATTATACTACGGACACTTTTAACAATTGTCTCAGCCTTTCGATATCCACAAGTGTCTGAGAACTTCCACGTGCATCAAAGAGAGGTCTACGTGTGTCCCCACGTTTCTAGTGTGATAGCTCATGCCCCCATCTTACGCGTCTATATTACGGGAATAACGGTATTCGTATTACTGAGTATTCACGTCCGGGAGGTGCCGGAGTTACCTTTTCTCAAACCTGATCTATCACTTATATATTTTTGATTTCTCGGAATAGTATATTGGAGGATTCTTTCCTGAGGGATATGTTTTTCTTGACATCTATGATACTGCAGAGATTTTCTTAGAATCGAGCTCTGCTTTGCTGAAAAATGCGCAACCAGCTATCACAAGAAGGATACCGGTGCCGTTTAAGATATCCACGGTGAAATCTTTGAACACAAAGATTCCAATAGCTAGTGTGACAGCCTGTTTAAGGTTCCCGCAAACCGATATTGTGAGAGCACCGGCCAGCTTGTTGGTCTGGAAAGAAGACACATTGAGGAAAAATGCCAGTAGTCCATTTCCAAGTAAGAATATGACGGTGGCCACGGTGGCCAGTCTCGAGGACTCGGCGGCACGCTGGGACATGGAATCTGCAAAAGCTGGCAGCTCTCCGGCAATTACCGCGAGCACAAAGGATTGGATCGCAGCGAGTGGAGACATGCGGAACAGAAGCTCCATTGAAGGAAGTGCCAGGGATCCTGTCATCAGCCGGTTGGTTGTGACGGTCTTTTATCTTGTTAGTATGTTTCCACTCAAAATAGGGAAAATGTCCAAACAATACCTTAACCGCTGCGAGAACAACTCCGAATACTGTGATGAAGAGACCAAAAGCAGAGTAATGGTATTCCCCGACCACAGTCATTCCCGCGCCAATAATGATAGGACAGAGTGAGAGGTATGTCGCCATATAGTACGAGCGCCCAAACCAGACTCGGTATATCAAAACGGTGAAGATGGGCACGGTATTGCGGATGATTTGGAAAAAGGCTAGGCTCACGAGGGATCTATGCAGGTGTTAGAGCTCAACATTCAAGATATCAATATGGTCACATACAGCGAAAGGTTTGACATGGCGATGTTTGCCGTGAAGAGCACAGAGAATGCGACCAGGGCCAGATGTTCTCTTTGACCCAACCTTGAGAGCTTAAAACGTCCCAGTTTCAATAGTACAAAGGTACCTAGCGAGGCGAAAGTGGTATGCATACATGTTAGCAGCCAAGGAAATTTGAACTGTTGAAAGCAAATCAGTACTTGAGACCCATCATGTTCAGGGCCATGCTCACAGATCCTAGAAGGAGCTTGTTGTACAACGTCAATAACATGCTGAATAGAAAGTAGGAACCGAGCCACATGAACTTCACGGACGTGGGCGTCTGATACTCGGGGTCGATGGTATCTGGGGTAGCTTCATGTTTGCGATTCGATTCGAGATCATCGGAAGTTGTTGAGAGGGAGTCGTCGTTGAGCAAGGCCAGCTCTGCCTCATCTGGCTCGTTGGCCTTTGAACTCATATTGATTGTGCTGAACTCTAGGGAATGAGATGAGTTTATTTTCTCCCAGAGCCACAATTAAAAAATGAGATAAGCCAATATTAATGTAATCTTTGTTGCCTTATGCCAAGTAAAATAATTTCTAACTACATGGAGTACTCCGTACTTATGTAGGTCTATACATAATGTATGCATGTATGCATGTACTCTGTATTTTATATTTTATGTATTTCTCGTATGGGTACGATTACGATCTCCGTACGGATGAAATTATAATATTCGAGTCTCTATATTCCTTTAGATATTCCAACTTGCCGGTGAATCCGGAGTGCAAGTTAGGGTAAAAGGGGGAATTACGGAAAAGGGGGAAAGATGGGAGAAAGATATTTCCTTGGAAGGACCTCGACTTCGTATCCTCGTATTTGATATTTGACGGAGACCCTCGGTCTTGGCCACATGTTTGGGCTGGGACTCTTTTCACTTCACTTTCATTCTAAAAGGTGCTTTCTGTCTTCCCACACGCCAGAGTTATTTGACATTCGCATGGTTACCATTTGTCAATATGATGCTACTCACCAGTCGCTGGCATTGGGCAATCCTAGTCAGCTTCGTGGTAGTTGCCTTGGTCACCCTACTTCAATATCATTCTCCGATCGGAGAGGGACGTTCTTTCCCAGTATCATCCGACGTTGTAAGATTGCAGTTGAAGACTGCCCTATGCATACAGGAAAAGAGATTGACTTATTTCTTCAACTAGACAATTCTACCGAGCAATGAGATCATACCGAACAAAGAGACCCCACCTAGCACCGAGACTCTACCCAACAAAGAGACTCTATCCAGCAACCAGACACTATCTAGCAACGAAACAATACCCAAAGAGACTCTACCGAACAAAGAGACTCCATCTAGCCCTCAACAACTCCCCCAAACCTCAAAATTACATCTGCTTATCCCTGCAAATGCTCCTCACTTGCAGCTATGTAGGGCCGTTGTATCATCGACCATACTGGGGTATCCGGTCCCCGTTTTCAATGGTTGGAACAAAACTGGAGACTTGGATGCCTCCATTACCCATCTAGCCAAAGTCCGGAACGTGATGCGCTATCTGGATAGTTTGCCTTCTGAGTCGAACGACGATCTCGTTCTCATGATTGATGGTTACGATGTGGTCTTTCAACTTCCCGCCGATGTTCTCATCCAACGGTACTTCGCCGTGATAGAGACAGCAAACGCCAAAATTGCTGCGCGATTTGGCCAGGATTCAATAGAAAGTTTGTCTGGAGACAACCGTCCACGACAAACCATTCTATTTGGCCCCGAGAAACTCTGTTATCCAGTCGACGTGAATCGACCAGGGTGCTGGGCTGTACCTGAGGATATCGACATTCCTGTTGGCGCGTTCGGGCCAGACAAAGGCGATTTGAGTCACAATCCACCCCGGTGGCTTAATTCTGGCACCATAATGGGTCCAGTAGAGGACATGAGAGAATTGTTCACAGCAACCTTGGAGCGAATCAATGCCACCTATAACCCACAACATGAATTCAGCGACTCAGATCAAATGTACATGAGTGATATCTGGGGCGAGCAAGAGTTTTGGCGTTCCGTGGATAGACATAACCATTACTTCCATGATGATGTGGACCCAAAGACGATCGCACCAGCTGGAGGGCCAGACAGAATCATTCCAACTAGGGTTGCTGGCCAAAAGACCGAATTTCACATTGGGATTGACTACAAATCCGGGCTTTTCCAGACCCGTGTTGGCTCTGACCATGTTCTTGAACATCTTGCTTTCAATCTAACTGCACCCGACGGCGTTGGTGCTTCAGCCTTGATCACTCAAAACTCGATTGAATCCTTGAATTTTCAGCCCTATGAGATTGCACTGCCCGTCAATGTCATCTCTTCATTGATAAGAATCTCGAGTGCAATCTCTGATGTCCTCGAGACCGACCCAAAAGATTTCGTCACGAAGATACATCTCGGAACAAACTTAGTGACCAAAAATATCTATGGACTATTCCATTGCATCGGTGAAAAGACTTATCTCAATGGCTTGTGGTATCGGCTATGGTTCCAACAGTATGGTCGGTCACTTTTAGAAGCGGGGATCAAGTCGATGAAAGAAAAGAAGGGCATTTCCAACGTCTTGATTGATGGGCGAAAATGGGTCGTCGCTCATGGCTTCCCGATCACATCCGAGAATGGCGTACACGCTGCTGGTGCATGGATGGATGTTGATGGCCAGTGGCTAACATGGAGAGAGCTATGCCAATCATTCGAGGATGACATTTTCGGGGCGACATAATAACATCGAACTGCAATGTGGCGTTGGAGTTAGATTATTGTATTTTTACTTTCATGGGGTCATCATTTGCCTGTATTAACCATAATATTCCCATACATATCAACCAGCTGTACTCTGTATTGAGTCTTGGATCGATATCATGGCTAGAATTCACATTTATATGTGGTACCTATTCACTGTCCTGACAATCTGAACATTCTTATTTACAAAAACCCTGACAGCAAATCTTTGTGAATAATGAGAAAAACAACAAAGAATGCAAATCAAGTAGAAATAACTTGCTCCTGACATTCACGGAATCAACCTGCAACGTCATATTTCTGTCGTCGTTTCATTGACTTCCATTGAACCAATCCAGCACCGATAAAAGACAGTAGTGCGCCAGCAACAGACACGTAGAATGTCTGGATGACGGCAATGTTATAGGCGTATAGGACGGAGGGCAAAATGTCTTTGGGCACACGCTGGGATAAATTTGCGGCCCCGGCGTTTATTAATGCATTTGGGCTCACATTGGGAGCATTGGCCGCTATGCTGGCCACAAGGCGATTCTCGAAGACGGTTTGGGCAATCGAAATAAACATTGCGCCACTGAGGCTCTGTGCAAATGTGATGATGGCAATTCCGATCGGTATGTCCCGTAATGGCAGTACGGTCTGAAGTGCGTTGATGCATTGCTGAAAGCCAAGCCCGGCTCCAATGCCAAGAATGACTTGGTATCCAATCCACTGCGGATGTCCGCTGTTCACTTTGAAAGTTGTACACAGTCCAGAGCCAATAGTGAGAAATGCGCTTCCCACGAACATGAGCGGTGTATAATATCCAAGGATATTCACAAGTAGGCCTCCTAAAGCGGAGAATACGATCATAGCTATCACCATCGGAAGATTGTTGATTCCAGATTCTGATGCAGAATCTTCCTTGACTGCTTGAAACCAGATAGGGAGCTTAGAAGGTTATTAGCAATGAATCTGAGAGGAATGTACTCAGAACCCACATAGTACCCAAAGACAAAAAAGGAGCCACCGAGGAATGTAGCGTGGATCACTGCTCCAAGAACATTGCGATTTTTGAGTAAACGTGGCGGTACTGTAGCGTCGTCCTGCTTCCAGACCTGAATAATACACCACACAGAGCTGAATACGCCAAAGAGAACGAATAGAGCAATGATTCTAGGATTGTTCCAGCTGTATTTGGTGCCGCCCCATTGCAGGCCCAATAGAAGGGAGACGACCGCGGGGATAAATGCAAGTACACCAAAAGGATCCATTCGCTTTAGCTGCCCAAGGCGGCTGATTTTGGGTTTTGGTGATGTAGAATCCTTGAAGAAAATTAAAATGACAAGGCCAGTGAGGACGCCAAACGGTAGATTTATCCAAAAGCACCATCTCCAACTGACATGATCAGTTAAGAGTCCCCCTAGTCTATGGTCAAATTAGCCATCATTCTCAGCGACTGGGATAGCGAAACTTACAGTGGTCCTGTGATTGTCGCAATTCCACTAGTGCTGCCGATGATTCCGAAATAGAGGGCACGCCGGTGAAGGGGCACACTATTCGCGAGCACGAGTAGAGCACCCGGCGACAAACCTCCAGACCCGATACCGGCAATTGCTCGCCCAAAAATTAATCCTTTCGATGTTGGTGTCACTGCACATATCAGAGACCCAATTTCAAACAAGCACAGAGCAACCATATATGTCCACTTCGTCGAATAATATGTGTAAACCTTGCCGAATGGCAGGGTCACGGCACATGTGGTTAGAAGATAGGCACTGGCATACCATGATATATCACCTAGTGAGTTGAACTGTTCAGTGATCTTGGGGACGGCGGTTGAGAGGATTGTGTTGTCCTAGTAAGTCCATATTAGCCCATGAAATAGCAACAGTAAGGTGAAAGCTTACCAAGGCGATACAAAAAGATTGAAAGCAAAGTCCGATCAAAATAGGAGCGAGCTTTGAGCTCGGTGGGTAGACTTGCTTCTCCTCATCATCGTCACTCTCCTCAGTTCCAGCCTCTTTCAATGGGATGTCATCTCGATTTGTGTATGTTTGATCCCGGAAATCTCTCATGCTTGAACTGCCTGCCATTAAACTGCAAGTTAAATTTCCCAGTTGTGATTGAAACTATGAGAACTCATAAAAAAATGAGTTTCGTCGAATCATTCGCGCTGAGGTCTGAAGGACGTTTGAAATGTGCGCATTAAATCCAAGGGTGGATGTACAGTAATTTTCTTGTAGGACATCTATGGACCTACATTACTATAGGCGTAGCCCGATAAAGTATGCAAGGGGTTTATATCTTGATTTCTGTTCGGGGCATTTCATATTCACTTGGTCACATTCTTACTGCGTGAATTGGTATGTAGTACTTTTTTCCCGACAAGATGCTTGCTAGACCTAAGCAGCATCTACATATTTGCCCAAAGAATATCCACTGATGCTCTGGAAATATCAACACTCTTATTTGGTAGTCGATCTGATTATACGGCTGTATCATTTGACTTTGTTCGTTACTCGAGGTCGGTTACTCTCTTGACGTGATGAATCTCGGGACCCTGCATTCCAGTGAGACTGTAACCTCACTAAACACAGAGTCTATGATAACTAGTTAATCCATACGGAGTACATTTAGTAATAAATAGCTTGAAAACCTACCCAATATTCCAGTGGTCAGAACAAGAGGGTTATCGGCGACCCCTGAAGGTAGTGAGATTCAGCCACTCATACTCCGTTAAGTCATAGTGCACAACAAAACTACAGAGAAAAACTCGGGTTTGATTTTTGTGAAGAAAATAATGAAACTGTTATCTTGATCACGACAGTAGCCTTTAGCCCATGTTTCTACGAATCTACCAATCAAAATCAACATACCACCTCTGTATAACTAATTGTCTCCGATAAAGCGTTGTGCGTTTCAATATTGTTGAAAATGTACCTATCGTATAATTTTCTTAACCTCATGATGCGCTTAATGGGCCAGTAATGGATTATGGGAATGCCTGCTTATTTCTTCACTGTAGAGATATCCATATTAAGCGAAAGACATCTAGCTGTGGGTATAGAATATACCGAGAGATCTTGCAATCGGGCTCCTGGTTCATCTATGAGGTTATATACTTCGAAAGTACGGATTGGTTCTTGGATGTGTAATAAACGTAGGTAGCTACCCACAGCAGTTATTAAAAATATTGCATTCGAAGTGTGTGCGCACGTTGAAAACTACCCTTATATAAATATACATTATTATACTAGAAATCTTGCCGATATATAGTTAGATATATATACACATATATGTGTATAGTAAAATAAAATCTACATAAAAAATCTAACTACGTCAGAACCGAAGTGAACCCGTGATCCCCCACACACCAACGTCATAACTTTCTTCTCGAAGCCCAAATTTCTTCACCTTCCCTCTCAAGGCTACTTAGTCTTAGATTATTAATCATGCAACACGTCTGATATCACACTGTTCACTGACATTTTTCGTTCTATTGGCTTTTCCTTTTGGCTGGACTCTGGTCTATTCGCTTCTTGCCCCTCTTTGCGCCTACGTCAAATATATCTTGTTTCATTCCATTTGCCTAGGCTTTACACTCTTATTTGACACCGGTTTTACCTGTCTTGCATGTTTATGACCAGATATTTGGCCACAGTCCTAGGTCTCCGACCCTGATATCTTGATCCGAGAGCTTGGGAGCACCTGTCAGTCTGATCCTTGACAAACCGCTTGGAGTTATCTACTACACAACTGCGGGTGTCACCGCCGGGGAAGTCTTGAGCTGACCGTCTTTCGGCAGACCAGGAATTGGAGTTGTGGAAGCCAATCTGCCTTCCATGACAGGCCCAGGACGCTCACCCTCATCACCTTGGGTACAAAGTGCTCAAGGTGGTCATCATGATGGTGTCACACAGTCCTTCCAGTCTGCCATGTCGCCATCAACCACGGGCATGATGTCGAGCGCGGCTTTTGCAGAAAGATCAAGTCCCAATTATTTTGGCATGACTGTGCAAAACCCCAACAATCAACAGACTTCCAACCCGGGGTTGTCCATGCAAAAGAACTGGGGCACATTACCCAATACGCAACCATTGCCGAGTCCAAAATTACCAGTGTTTTCCCAGGAAACGGTATCCGCGGGATTAAAGAATCTACTGAAGACTGAGCCCGAAACCAGCCGGATACGCCGAGAATCAGCATTGCATGGATCTTCCTCTCCCCAGACGACCTCATGGTCAACGCCCTCACCCTCACATCCGCTGGGAAATTTTTCATTTGCGCAACCAAACGGACTCAAGCTTCCAGCCGGCAAGCCCTTAGCATCCTCTCCACAAGGTATGACTGACCACTCTTGGATTTGTTAAATTCGTTTTTTTTGTATTTGATCCTATAACTCTGAAATGTTCCACGGTTTATCTTCCATAGATTATATAAGATACTGACACTATTTCTTCAGGAGCCACCGCTGCCTCATTTCCCTGGGTATCAGCCGAACGCTGCGCCGAACTTCTTGAATCATCTCAGTCAAACACCATGCTATTTGATGTTCGCCCATTTGCTCATTTCAGACAGGCCAATATCAAAGGATCACTCAATTTATGCATCCCCACTACCTTACTCAAGCGTCGATCATTTGATACCCAGAAATTAGAGGGCACATTTACAGACGACGCCGACAAACAGAATTTCGCTCGTTGGAGAAAGTGTGACGTGATCATTGTCTACGACTCTGCTGCGGCGGATTTGAAGGATGCAGCGCCACTTCTGAGCCTTCTCAATAAATTCCAGGCTGAAGACTGGAAGGGGGACGGGTTGATCTTACAAAATGGATTTCGAGGTTTCTCGGGTCCGTTTCCACATTTGATTCAGCGGTCACAAACACAGACGACCGGGCTATCCTCTAAACGCCCCTCTCCAATGAGAATCAATTTGCAATCAGTTGCTCCTGTCGTGGGTGGCTGCGCCCTACCAGAATCATCATCTGCCGTCAATCCA